TATGACTTGAAATACGCATTTAATTGCGGCTCGCGGAAAATTACAAATGTTGAAAAATGTCTCGGAATATAAAGTAGTTGACACCTCTGACATTGACACAATTAAACAAAACCTACTTCAAAAGGTATTCAATAGGTATTTTATCGAAGCTCTACGCTGTAACGCGCTCAACTTCGAGGCGGTTTATAACAGAATAGCATAGTGAGAGTAGATACATAAAGCACCAAATTGTCTAACGGGGAAGGAACCACAAGAGGCCTTTGTTTAAAATTAGGTACTTAATAGCTATCATAAGAAAAGGTGTTGAGAAAAACCCGACGATTTTATTGTTTTGTCGAGTGATTGCATAAACAATGAACAAGCGTTGCTTGTTTGCCAAAATGGGGGTTATTTCGGTTCGGTTATCCCGAAAATCAGTCGACCTTTTATTAATAGACTCTATTTTAAAACGAGGTAAATAATGCCGATGAGGTAATAAGCTTTTTGGTTGATGACTAGTCGTCGAAAGACTCGTAAGAAGCAAAACAAAGCTACGGATGTTTTTTGGGAAACTATTCATTAATAAGTAGCATGCATCGACAGAATAAGGAGTATGCACGCACAACTGTACATCATAGTTACGAGATGTTGAGTTATGCGATAGTACATATCCTCAGATAATAATTATATCGACATATAGCGTAATGACGGTATGAATACATGACAGGGATGGGTAACTTAAACCATGACGGGTGAATCATTAAAAAAAGAACTCGCGCAACATTATACATTAAAAAAAAACTAAAAATAAATCATGTATGCACGTCAAAGTAGCAAGCACGCCAAATTGTGAGTAAATAGCGACAATTAGTGACACATAGCATATAATTAGTGACACGGTAAATTAAGAGATATTGAAAGATCTTAGTGTGCCTGCTAACTAGACGTCTAGGTAGCAGGCACACTAAAACTATGATTCGTATTAGTTTGAATTACATATCAAACAATTTTGACTAATTAGTGACTTTGAAGCTAATACATACACAAAATTGTGATTCTCGTGATACATATAAACCCAAAGATATTTTTTTATTATTCTTCAATACTAAAAATATGCTTCTTCACACTAAAGGTTCATGAATATTTGCGATAAATATTAATCTTTATAGTGCTGCGATAAGGTTTAAATGTATTTTTAGTGATGAGGTGAGCACCATCGAGTAAAGAAGTGTTATTGGAAATCAGTCCTGATTGCCTGCTACCTAGACGTCTAGTAAGCAAGCACACTAAGATCAGTCCTAATTTATATGTAAAGTAACTTTTGGAACTATATCAGTCATAATTACGTTAAATACAATTGGTCGACTATTACTCGTAAACTTGTGAAGCCAAATTAAGTGTGATAGTTTTATTTTAAACTTCGTTATATATAAGTACTACTACCGTAACGTTTGAATTTTTACCAATGACAGTTTAATTGGTAGACGAGTGGACACTTGACTCTATGGAAAATTAGCTCTTTAAAGTTTAATAAGCCACAAATTATTTACTAAATCGAAAAGCGGCCTTCCCGCACTCCGACCTATCCAACAATGCCCACACTATGAGGAATAGGAAAAAATGAAGTTTCCTAATTTATATGTAAAGTAACTTTTGGAACTATATCAGTCATAATTACGTTAAATACAATTGGTCGACTATTACTCGTAAACTTGTGAAGCCAACTTAAGTGTGATAGTTTTATTTTAAACTTCGTTATATATAAGTACTACTACCGTAACGTTTGAATTTTTACCAATGACAGTTTAATTGGTAGACGAGTGGACACTTGACTCTATGGAAAATTAGCTCTTTAGAGTTTAATAAGCCACAAATTATTTACTAAATCGAAAAGCGGCCTTCCCGCACTCCGACCTATCCAACAATGCCCACACTATGAGGAATAGGAAAAAATGAAGTTTTTAATAGATAGATTAGTTAGGAAAAAATGAAGTTTTTAATAATAGTTAGATTATAAACTAAATAATATTTTTTACCACACATAAAAATTCTATATATATACCTATACACTAGAATTCAAAATTTTGCTACTATTGTTTTTTTTTCTACTGAAAATGTATGCAAACATAATGGGAAACTGCGAACTGTCCACAATTAACTATTACATCATTCAGTTACGGAATCGTAATGAATAAATCATTTAAAATAATCACCTGACATCATTGCTGACCAATTGACATTCCATCCGCAGTGGGCATCTGGCTTTATGATTTAATAAACATTGCACAGTTTTTCGACACATGCATGTCAGAAGTCAAAGAGTAGGTGAATTGAGCTGAGGGTCAATTGAGTGAGCAGTAACGTCGACTGCCGCTGTAATTGGCATATCATTCATGAAACCGTAGGCACATGAATGGGCGGCCTTGGGTAAACTGAACCTATTTTTACCAATTGTACATCTTGTATTGCAGTAGCGGCTGTAATACAAAATCCCGCGTTAACTTGTGGCAAAACATGCGATACGTTCGTTTTAAGAAATAGAGCTTGTAGTTTCTTCCACAATTCTGAAATTAAAAATGAAATTAATTTTAGTTTCTAATACTTACTTTTTGGCTATATACAGTATTGCACTCCTTAATTGTACTCTTGCACCCAGCCCGGGTTATCCATTAAGGGTAACAGGTTTAGGAGGCAAATTAGATTTTTTTTAGTCTCGAATTATATGATATATCAAATAAAAGTGAAAATTTCGAAGTTTTTGTATTATAATATTGATGTGGAACGACTCGCTCTTGGGCGGTTTCTTTTTACTAGTACAGATTCTATGTGATTTGAAATAATAATTTATGATAACTTCCGTGTCAGTTGCTCGTATTCTCGTAACAGTTCTTAATATTTGTTATTAAATTACACGTTATTTATGTGCCACTGAAACGTTAAGTACAGTAAAGAGGATAATCTAATTTGTCTGTATGTAACATTAGTGCCGTAACCAGTGCCGGTACAGTACCAAGGCGTAATAGTACAGCTTCCATTTGCGCATTGCATTTTAGATTTACGTAATTTTTTAGGTAGTTCAGATTAAAGTCTTCGTGACCAAAAATTACTTTTTTTCAATTAGTTTGGTACCAAGAATTTTTATATTATTGAGATGTACTTATAAACGAGAAAGCTACATCAAATATCTAAGGATTTTGTCCCATACAAAATATGTATTTAAAAAATTGTGAAATAAAAACAGGCACGCCCCAAAATTCACTTAAGTCATACTTATTTTATAAGGAAAATCAAAATCTGACATGTTAAACGTTAAAAGAAACTTTTTATAAACCGAGATAAGCATTTCATTATTCTATCATTCGAAATCAAATTTAATCTATTAAATCAAAATCATTGATTTGACTTAAAATTCATGCGAAGAAAATATATAATCTGTTTATTTCGCGGCTGGTAATTTTAATCATAATGTTGATTTTCCGCGTAGGTTCGTCTTCAATGAGTTGCTATCTCATCCCCGCTCCTTCATTAAGACCAGTAAATGCGCTACTGCGGAGTCGCCATTTCGATTCAACTTCTGTATACTTTTATAAGAGCATCATTAGCTTCTAGATTATAATTTGCTCATGATTCGATTAACGGTTAGCAATTGTGAACTTCGAAACTATATGCTATCGGTAAATCTGCTTCTTTTTCTCCTTATTTTATTTCATACAGAAATATCGTTGTCCGTTAGATTATGAAGTGATTCCCACCACAATATTAAAAACATAACAAAAATTATAATACTAAATCCATTCGCACATAAACTGATTGATTATAATTAAATAAAGTTGAAACTCTCTTGAAATGATAACTGTCATCGTCCTTAACTGTAAAGTCCAATGTGACAAACGCAAATATAAATCGGAAAGAGACAAAAGAACAAATCTCTAAAGAAAATAATAACCTCGTCTCTACTTCACGCACTTCTCATTTGGTATGCGCGTGCGCATCGGATCCGTTGCTGAATTCATATTGTAATAGTATGCACTTCCTCATGCGAGTTGGTGGACACTTTCTTTGGAAAGTTCCTTGTCCTTTGATGTTTATGCCACGTGTTTAGAGTTTATGAACCTTTTGAATGACTGTGAAATTTAAATTTCTAAAGTACCTGTTCATTAACTTCAATTTTCTTCTTTCAATCTTCTCTAAACTTAAAAACAAGTTAATTGTTTTCTTAACAATTAACTTTTTTAATCAAACTCTGTTTCAGTTATTTAAAACATAATTCATAACTTCCTAATTAGCCTATTTAGCTCTTTCTATCTATGTGACCTGTAGAATTGAGGATTTACTATATCTCAAATTAAATGGTGGAGTAGAAAATTAATCTTATTTTATCATTGAACTTTGTTGTATGACTACTACACTTCTCATTGTTATCAACATCATTTCATTATTTACAAAACATATGAGTTTCATTCTAAATTCAATATGGCAGACCACCTAAGTGGGGTGAATTATTATGTTTTCATTAAGCCTTCTCATAATGTGGGTATCAAATAAAAGGTTTCATTGAGAAACGATAAAATAACTAATAAAGAAAACTACACTAAAAATAAAAAGAGGCTTTAAAAAACTTACAAGTGCCTTAATTTTACTACGTGAAATATTATAACCTCAATTTTTGGTACGTCAATTAGTAAAGATGTTACATGATAAATGTATTTTTCGTAATATCTCCTGTTTTAAATTAATAAGAGACGCGCCTCCTGATACAAGTATCTAATCATCGTTAATTAATAACTCCTTTTGTTTTTTATTTACAATTTTTAATTTAACAATTTTCACAAAGATTCACTAACCCGATGAACTCTGTGATGGGACTCGACTGAGAGCAGTCGCCCGGATCGCGAGAGGTCATGAGTTCGAGTCCCATCACAAAGTACCTAGGGCAAATGGATGTATAAAGCATTTTTCAATAAGAATATTTTTCAGTACAAAATTGATAAAATACAATAAACAATTTTCCCTTGTTTCAGGTGGTCTGGAAGGCAAATACCGCGTGGCGGCGCCGGAACTGATGCAAGACACATTCATGAGTGACTCGGAGGACGAAGGAGGTAATATAATACTCTATTGTCTTCTCATAGAAATATATAAGTCGGATAAATGTTCTATTATTATGTAGGTAACAAATAAACTCGACCCCACCCAAGTTATGTTTACATCAAAGAAAAAATTGTAAGGAATCATTCTTGTTAATTTGTTTACTTTTTATATCTATACTTATCAATATTATATAGTTTTTTTTCTTTCTTCGAACGCTTTAATCTCAGGGTTCTATTGGTTCTTATTGAAAATTTATTGAGCAAGGCTATATAACATCGCACTATGAGTAATACGAGAGGAGCCACTATAACGAATGTTGCAAAAACTGAAAACCACCCGGGTGAAGCTTCTGTAGGTAACTATAATTAGCTGCTGAATTAAATTTATACAAAATTATAATAGCAGTCGAGGCACCTTTTATATAACAAGCGCTCCATAGAACGGTCCCCCGAATGTAATATGAATTTTAGTTCAACCATACCATACCATAGAACAAATTATTTCTTTTATTTATTAATTCGATTATCTCTTTTGTCTTTAGAACCTAGACTTAAAATATTTTTTGCAAATTTCATCATTTTGTTTAGGAGAAGTGGAGTGTCCTATACAACAGCAGCAGCAGTACAGATACATGAACAGTGAAGCGGGCACGCTACACCGGGCCAAGCCGCTCGAAGACAGCGTCACAGATGGCCACCTGTGGCCCAGCAATAATGACAAGAAGGTGGCCACTATCGACAGGCAACCGGTCGACATCGGGTGAGTACCGTGAAATCTAATTCAAGATATGAGATCCCATGTTCGATACCCACTCGAGTCAGTGACGAAAATGAAAGGTTCTGTAGACCGACCTTTGCGGAAGTTGCATCGTCATCATCATAACATGACTTACTACGCGGGGCCAGTGCGGATTAGTGGGTGTTAACATCTTCCGATGCAGTCGTAACTGACGACTTAAAGTGCCTCCGAAGCATGGTGGAGCTCGAGATGATAAAATTTTAGTCACCCGGTAGTTCATGACCCGGTTCTTTTAAAAGTTACTCAATAATAATATCGCATACCGAACGCGCTATACACTGCTCTATCGAGGTTCTCTAAACCTCATCAGGATTAGAATAATCTCCATAATTTAAGCACGAACACTCAAAAAAAAATTGATTTCCCTAGGTTCCTGGTGTCCTTCGTGGTGGACGCTCGTGGAGGCGCCATGAAAGCGAAGCGGCGCGGTGGCGTCCGCATCATAGTACCGCCCGCCGCATGCGCAGCACCCACCAGAGTCACATGCCGGTATACATACTATTCATTTATTAGCAGAAAGAAACATTTTTATTAATCCTTTACAATCGGTACACAAAGAGAGTCAAGAAATAGAAAAATAAAAATAAAAAAGGTCACAAAACACCACTCCTTGTGTTTACCGCGCGAGGTCAACCAGCAAGCCAATTCTGTTAATGTTAACGTCATAATTCCATCTCATTAGAATCTGAACTACTTACATTTTGCCATTGTACTATCTACCTATAGTCAAATATAATTATAATGTATATCTGTCACAATTGATGGGTTAGAAAGACATTGCACTAATAATATTGAACTTTACGTGGATAGTGCAATGGTAAAATTAGGGGAGACCGAGGAATTTTAAAATATCGGTGAGGTGAAACCTTGATTTCTCGAAATTTCAAAACCCGTAACAAGTTGGCACCATCACATATCAACTGCTTACCACTGTAGTATTCCACCATATGTATGACGTCAACTAACAGTTTTTAAATTTCTAGAAATCAGGGTTACTTTAACTTATCTCTATTTTAAAACTCCCATGACTAAAGCAATAATCAAATATTACAGATTTTGTAAATTCACTGAGAGCGTCAACAACTATATCAAATTATTTATGACTAGCTGACTTCTTGCGACTTTGTCCGCTTAAATAATATCCTATGTCACCCGCGTATGATGTAGCTTCCCGTAAGTAAAAGAATTTTTAAAATCGATCCAGCATTAAAATCTTGAGTCTTTATGGTATTAATATAATATAATAACAATTTATCGTATTTGCCTGAAATTCGAAGTCCAAATGTGCTACTTTCATCAACAACCCCTATTACTGAACCTTAAAGGTAATTCGAACTAATGTGATTATTCTTCATTTGTAAAAATATATAGTTGAGGCAGAATTCAGCATGGCATTTGTTTATTACGTCCACTCAATTACACGAATACGGAATAGCTATTTATAGATGTAAATATTATTTAATAAATAAAAAAAAATCATAAAATGAATATGTTCTGAAGCGAGCTAGTGGAAATAAAATTGTTTCATGAAAATGAACGATAAAAAATTATAATGAATATGTATAGCGAACACAGATACGAAACAGCGGATGACAAATTACAATTTTCATAGATTTTGAAAATTATAAAAAATTACATATATTAAAAAAAAAAATAATCTATAAACGTCGGAAACATACACTAAAACGTTTATTAAATACGTCCAAAAACACGTTTTTGATTATATTTTGCAAATATAGGTCACGGCCACAAAAGTTTATTTCAAGTATTCAGTGAGAAACTAGTGTAGATATAAACAACTCTCGGATTGATCCGCTATTCATAGTAAATTGATTGAACATGGCATCGTCCCAAGGATTTACAGAGTTGCCGGTTATTACACAACGAATACATTATAACTAATCTTAGAAATAAACAAATAAAAAGCTATATCTATTGCGATTTTTTTTTCTAAATATCTATTTACTTTAACTGCGAATCTTTAAAGAAACGACAAGCGTTAAAAATGTATGGGCGCGTAATACTTGGTTGTTTGTCTTGTTTCTGACATAACACTATATTAGTCAGTGTTGACTAAATTCCTAATTAATTATTCTAATTCCGTGTTTTTGTTAATAAGTAGAATAATAATACTATGGAAAAATAGCACTATGGAGACACCAAGTCCATGCTTTAGTTAGAACTTTTATCACACTCAATATTGGCAGTGATCCAACAAAATGATTCTTAGAGAAACTAACTTAGATTTTCTTCTCTCTATCTACGTAGTAAAAACCTAGATGAGAATAAATTATTAAGTATGTATCATAGAATAGATAATAGACGTCAATAATTTATTTTAAATGATATTAGCAAAGCTTGTGTACATTTTCTTCACTCTTCTTATGTATTTATTTAATTCTACAATCATTGCTTTTTGCCAGATATCCGAGGAGTCGAAATCACGGGTAACAAATTATAACTCACTTTAGAAAAAAAATTGCTCTTTAGATGATGTGGCATTTAATTAGTATTTAAATCGTCTTTTTTCTGTTAACTATGTTAGTGTTTCTAGGGCTGCCACAAGACGAGCACCCGCCGCGGCACCGCCACCCCTAATGGAGGGCGAAGCGCTTGCATCGAGACTATTGGAGCTTCAACCGCAAGGCGCCAAGTTTTTGGCGTAAGTATAGTAAAAAAAAAAGTTACAATGGAGAAGGTAACTGTTAATGACGCTACCTTAGTTTCATACCAAAAGACATCACACGCGAAAATATTTAACTGTCTCGACTCTTAGTCGGTAAAACAGTTTATTCAACGCCATTTCGTAGTTTTGAGAAATATTAGTTAGAGTAGTAAAGATTAAAGGTGCTCTACTTAATGTTTATGGCTTTAAACTTCTGAGGCATATCTATGATGCTTGGGAGAATAAACAAGATGCTATTGGCATTTTTTGTGATCTATCAAAAGCATTCGACTGCGTTAGTCATGAAACACTGTTGGGGAAATTAGAACATTATGGTGTGACGAAAAATTCACTTCATCTAATAAGATCATATCTTTCTGCTAGAATTCAAAAGGTAGTAATCAATGAAGCGAAATCTGCAGGGGCACCAGTTACTATGGGCGTACCTCAGGGATCGATATTAGGACCATTGCTTTTTCTAATTTATATAAATGATCTTCCTCACTTTACGAAGAATTTGTGCGAGACAGTATTATTTGCAGATGACACCTCTTTACTGTTTAAAGTTGAGAGGGGTAATGATTGTTTTGACGATGTAAATAATGCTCTCGACAACGTTCTACAGTGGTTTGATAATAATAATTTAAAGCTCAATTCAAATAAAACGAAATGCATAAAGTTTGCATTACCTAATGTGAGGCATGTCAGTACACTTATAAATGTAAATAGTGAAAAAGTTGAGTTAGTAGAATCGACAAAGTTCCTTGGTATTACACTAGATTCCCGACTGCAATGGGATCCTCATATTGATAGCTTGTCAAGTAGACTGAGTTCTGCAGCTTTTGCTGTTAAGAAAATTAGACTCTTGACAAATGTTGAAACGGCAAGATTGGTATATTTTAGTTATTTTCATAGTGTAATGACGTATGGTATATTGTTATGGGGTTCTGCGGCTAGCATTCAGGATGTTTTTATTTTACAAAAGAGAGCTGTCCGTGCTATATATAATTTACGGTCTAGGGAATCTCTAAGAGAAATATTTAAAGAAATAAATATTCTGACTGTTGCCTCTCAATACATCTATGAGAATATTATGTATACAAGAAAACATTACGATTCCTTCACAAAAAAAAGTAGTGTTCATAATCTTAACACAAGAAATAAAGATAAACTTGCCGTTCCAAGCTTCCGACTTCAAAAAACCAGAGGATCATTTCTGGGTAAATGTATTGCTATGTTCAATAAAGTTCCACAAAATGTAATTGACCTACCAATAAATAAATTTCAAATTCATCTAAAGAATATACTTGTGAGTAAAGGCTATTATAAAGTTGATGATTATTTTAAGGATCGCAATGCATGGAATTAATAGCCTTCGCTTTGTTCTATAAAGACTAATTATATGTTCAACTTATGTCCTACAGACTTTGAAAGTTGTATTTACTATTGTGATAAATTGATAATACATATTATTTTGGTAATGACATGATTTATGTAAATGTCATTACTTATGATAAAAAGCTGATAAGTTTCTTTCGCTTGTTCTTCTTGTCAGCTAAAAGGCGTCCTGAACAAGTGGTAGGGGAAAAAAGTTTTTTGGACGATTCAAAAGTGCTTGTAATAGCCTACTTGAATAAAGATATTTTCATTTCATTTCATTTCATTTCATTTCATTTCATTTCATTTCATTTCATTTCATTTCATTTTCATTTCATTTCATTTCATTTCATTTAATGTTCCATGTAATAATCGATTGGCTATTTCTTTTTGTGTTTATTTTTAAAATTTAATATATAAGGAGTGTTTAATTTTTTGTTACGGCTTAGTTTTTTGTCAAAATAAAAAAAAAAACATATATTATACTTATATTTAAGTTTATTTATCGTCAAATTTTGTTAGATAAAAGATTTTTTTTATCTGCAACTTCGTGTAGCAATGATTGTTTCTTGTTCACTAGTCCTGTGATCATCGAAGTACCCATCTTCACGTCGTCTTGCCCTGAACGCGAGATCGTTATATTGCGTTCGGACACCGGCGAGACATGGCAGGACCATTATCTCCACAACAATGACAACCCTATGATCCAGGTATATTCTAACGTTGTCACATGAAGTAATTATGTCGTCTAATATTCATTTAATTTTAACACAAATGTCACCTAACCTATTTGAGCTCCGATTCTATTTGTCTTCAAACCAAAATTCTAACCATTTTTTTTTCTAACACAATTTTTAGGGTACCGTACCGTACCGAAAGTGTAAAACGGGAACCCTATTACTAAGACTCATGAACCGTGAAAGGCAGTTGTTAGACAGTTGAATTTTTCACAGATCATGTATTTCTGTTGCCGCTTTAATAACAAATACAAAAAAAATAGAATAAAATAAATATTTAAGGTGTATATAAATATTTAGTATTTGTATTTAAAAATATTTAAACGAGATTTTTTTTCTCGTTCTCGGTACGGAACCCTTCGTGCACGAGTCCGACTCGCGCTTTTTTCTCATATCCTTGAAGATTTATGCAACAGAGACAATGGTCCTACTTCCGTTGCATCATAATTAAGAGAAAAAATTGTTTTAAGAAAATAGACTTTATTTTTTGGAATTAGACCTTTAGATATCGTGTGAATTGGTATGATTAGTATAATATGCATTGATAACGAATGAACAGGAGGCGTTGCAACGCGAACGTCAGGATCACGGCACCTCTGGTGAATCTCTCGGCGAGAGTGGCGAGCGAGTGACGCGCATAGTGACGTGCGACTTCCCACACTACCTCGCGGTCGTGTCGCGAGTCCGCCAGGAGGTACACATCATAGGACCAGAGGGCGGCACTATCTCCAGCGCTCATATACCGCAGGTAATACATCCTGTCTATTTATATTACAAAAAGATTTCTCAAACTTTCCATTATATTTATCTACGGATTAGTGACTTAGCCTGTCTTAAAGGGACCCCAATTTCCTGTTATATTCATATACTTTTATCAAAATTTGTTGGGGGGCCTAAATAAAAGGTAAAAATATTTGCTTACCCATGTTAGGACCCCTGTAGCCCCGGGGTCCCGTTTCATTGATACGGCGTTAGCTACGCCTCTGGTACAGATACCCAGTCAAAAATGATTTTTATTGGTAAACACGAGACGTCATTGTTGACTATTTATGATATGATATACTAGCTGTTTATAAAACACGTGCACTGATTAAACACACCTGTATCGGTCCTGCCGTAGGTGCAAGCGCAATTCCCACCTCAGGCGCTAACGAAACGCATCCGGGTGGGTCTGCAAGCGCACGGTGCGTCGTCCGATCTGTGCCGGCGCGTGTTGCCGCGTCACGCCGCCGTGTCGCCCGTCATCACGGTGGAGCCGAGGCGGCGGAAGTTCCATCGCAGTATCACGCTAACCGCCCCGCTGCCGATGCTCCAGGTTATTATTAAACGGTTTCTAGACATGTTATACATTTGAATTGTATGCAATTTTGTTGCAGTGGCGCACTAGCGAACGTGTTTGATTAATTTAATATTTTTAAGAGCAATGAGTAGCGGCCCGCGATTTATGTTCACAAGGGTCGGCACGGGATGATTGACAAAAATCATCTCGAGCTACTCCCGTAGCCGTTGGTCCCGGCTGCTTTTGTAGTCGTTAATACCCTCCAATCCCCATTGGGCCAGCATAGAGGGTCATGGCCCATCCTTCTAAACCATTCATAAGGAAGGCCTGTGTCTCTGCAGTGGGACGTAAAAAGGCTGATGATGATGATGAAGAGTAGTGTTTGGTAATATGTTGGACATTTATTCCTCACAGATTAGACATCAGATCGTAATTATCCTTATATAAGGTATATTGTTAAAAAAGGGAGAGGCCTATGTTCAGCAGTGGACGTCTTCAGGCTGATGATGATTTTTAAAAAATGTCAAACTTTATACATTCAAAGTTGCATGTCATTTAAATAAATCTATGAAAATTCAATTACTTATTGCCAGATATATACTATCCATCGATGGTTAAAATTGGTCTTTAAATGAGATTCTAGACCTCACGAGTACAAGTCCCACATTGGGCGCCAATTTTATAAAATTGTGAATAGTTAATAGAAACGTACTTATGTGTTTCACTTGTACGAATATAATTTTTATGTTAAATGCTTTATTACACGCATGTATAATCAGTTTTGATTATTTAACTATGGAACTTTAACTTGGCGCCCAACGTGGTGCTCGCGTCCATGACTGTACTGATTTTTCTCTAAACGAGACAAAGTGAGTTTACCATATAATTAAATGATGATTTTTATATAGAATGGTCAACATGACAAACAAGGTGCAACTCTCCGGTTGCTATGTTCGATAATGGGCGGTCAAGCTCGCGCCGTATGGGAAGATGTCACCGGTTCTACACCACTCACACTCGCTGGAGACTGTGCCTCTTTCACTACCACCGTCTCTGCCAGGTAAATTAGTTTTAACTATAAAAAGACGGCGCTTATATTCATAGTTGTAGGTTTTGTTTACAACAATAAGAAATAATACAGTGAAAATAAGATATAATATTGGTATTTATAATGATATGTATAGGTACGCTTGCAAAACAGCACGTCAGTGTATAAAAATATCAACGGTTTTGAAGCCTCAATCTGTTGGTACGTAATAAAGTTCAAAATTGTATATAGGTTTTGTATGTTTAAATATATTCAATAACTTCCCTTGTCTAAAAATGTTTCGAAAAATCAAACAATTTGAATTTAAACAAATGAAGGTATTTTCAAAACTGAAAAAATGCATAATCTATAATTCACTAAATCAATAGTAATGCGCTGTAAACTCGAAGCATATCAATATAAATTAATTTCTATGTTAGAGCTATCTGTTGGCAGACAAAACTAATAAAAAATGTGAAATGTTACTTCAAATGTTTTTTCATTATCTATCTGAACATCATACCGTATCCTCTTGCATGGTTGATAATTATCCTTCATTAAATAATATTTTCTGGGAATGTAGACAAATTACAAAGTCGATATATGTCGTATCTGGTAATGAGAAACGAATTTATAATGCCAGATTCTCAATACACAAACATCACGATATTACGAATGGTTAAATCAATAATGTTTTAATATTTGTTGCAGATTCTGGTTGATGAATTGTCAGAATGTTAGCGACGCAACCAAGTTGGCTACAGAGCTGTACAGGTAAATATTATGGACTAACCATTTGATTCAGACGTATAGAATAATATGGACATGACTCTACTATTTGGAATTTTTATTTTTAGGTAGTTTATTTTTAAGTTGTATATAATAACGTTGAATTTTATTTGGCAAATAACACAAAATTATCTAATATAAGATTTTATTAATATATTTATTGAAACCTTTTGGAATTCAAACATAGTCTTAACATGTGTTAAGTAAGAAAAATTTGAAAATTATTATAACATTAATAAAGACAATGTTCATAAATTCAATTCAGTATGGGAAATAGATGAGAGTACAAAAAATAAAAATGCGTCTACCTGTTTAAGACGTCATTAGCTGCATTCTTAAGCTTTCTATTTCAAACATTCTCATATGTTTCAGGGATATGTTATTGGTGCCATTTGAGGTACGCATCGTAGTGTTGGGAAAACGATTGGACGCTTTGGAAGGACGCCTACTTGTGCTCTACATCACAGACAGATATGCTTACGATACACTCTTGCAACAGGTATATTAACTTTTAGAGGATCTGGATATGTTTTTATTTTTAGAATTACTACAACAGGGTATGTCCTACAATTGAAAATTCAGATTTTTGTTATATATTCAGATAGGTACTATAAATAGCTAACAAAAATAACTTATATGAATAGTTAAAAAATTATATTTTTTACACTAATTTGGAAAATATTACGATTTGAAAACATAAAAAGTAAATTACAAAAATTTGCTAAAGTCGATGGCAATTAATTAGTTACATAAAAAGTAACCACTTTCACTATGACAACTGTAGACATAAACGCTCAAATTATAAAGATCTTACAAAGATTGCTCAGACGCCCATACTTTTATGCTACCGTAGCAAAGCGTGACGTCACTTCGTAGTTTGAATTTGTAGGGACAAGCAGCAGTTCCACAAACATCATAGGCATTCTGTTACTTTTACATTACTTCTCAGCTATAAATGAACTATTTATTTATAAAATAGAAAACGTAGTCCAGTAACCTATTCTGATGAAATTTCACCACTTTAGATAATTTATTATCTGCTTATTAACATCCCCAATGCTGGTGCAGACTGTCACGATCGATAGACTTGCAACCTATCATTGAGCTCAGTATGGATTGGTGGGTGCAATCGATTTCTGATGCAGCCGGGACAAATGACTTAACTTAATCTCGAGTTAGTGAACATTTCATTATAAATGACTGGAGGGTGACATTAGTTCATTTATTGACAGGAGCATTACACAGAAGTGGCCCATTCGACGTCGGTCAGATTCCTGGACGGACGTGATGTGTATTTGGAATTTTCCGGTAATCTTGTGCCGGTCACCAAGTCGGGTAGCCAACCGATGCTCTCCTTCGAGGTAAATATGTACTAAGTCTATTAACATTTATATATATATATATAACTCAAAGGTGACTGACTGACATAGTGATCTATCAACGCACAGCCCAAACCACTGGACGGATTCATTCAGGAGATGTTATGACTAAGAAATTATTTGGATCAATTCTACCCCTAAGGGGATAAAATAGGGGATGAAAGTTTGTATGAAACTTTGTCAATTTTAAACAAAAAAAAAATGTTGCAGGCATTCAAAGATAATCGGGTCGAGTTCACGGTCAGAGTGAAACATCACGAGGAAACTCCTTCGGGAAGAATTTACTTCATGAATGAACCTAAGGTAATTGTCTCACTGTCTAATGTTATATGTGGCAACAAGACTTTTTTGTAAATGAACATGTACCATAAAATTTTTAAGACATTTTAAATGAAACCTTAATTAAATTAAAATCTATACCTTCCTTTTGAATCATTTTTGGAAATCATGTGTTAATGTTATAATGATAGTGTATCGCGGGTTTCATACCACCTTTTTTTTAGTTACAGTTTTTTTTTTTTTGTTTATTGCATTTATAGTGTAGTTTGTTGAATATAATGTTGTTAATAATTGTTAGTTTTGACTGTCAGTATGGATGGCGTTAGTATCAAATTTTGATGTTTTTATTAATAAGTAATGAACATAATTTAGGACTGTATGTTTGCTTATGTTATTATTATATTATTACTAACCAAAAACTCCGAAATAAACACTAAAATTCACAATATTGTTCCAATACATGCTAAACATATTTTTTCTCTCTTTTTAACCTCACGCTGAGAACGACATAAAACAAAAATTGTAAGATATGCTAGTATTTTTTTATTTGACAAAGGAGCGTAGTCATTCTGCTATTGGCATAAAAAATACACGCTATAGATCCTAAGTAACGGGGCGTCTCCTGATATACAGCCGTAGACGCGAGCCGTCTACCATGGCATGGTATGGTAGTTATGCAAATTTCGAAATTATTTGATTTGATATTGAAATTCTCACAGATACAAAAATAATTCTGAAATAATAACATCAGCGCCACCTGTTGATAGATGTCGAGTTTATTATGTTATGATGGTATTTGAACAGGTGGGTAAAGGCGAGCAGTCTCAGACGCCGGCGTGCGTTCTCGACGTAGAACTACCCGATCGTATCGCACCGCGCGCCGGCAAGAGTCAGATAGACTATCTCAACTTGGACCAATCCGGTAACTATACATTATACTATAAAAAATTAGATATCATAACGATGAATGAAACAATATGGTAGAAATTCTGAAATATTACTAAATATTTTGTATGGAAATAAACATAGGTATTTTTCGTTATAGGTAAACTAAAGTCGTTCTTGCGCAATCTGTATTGCTTCCAGTCCTTGACTATGCTGACGCCTGCTATCTTGATAATACGGAGGACCAGCTAAATAAACTTGAGCGTCTTCAAAATTTCTGTATTAGGTTCATATGTGGTCTTCGCAAATATTATGATGCTTCTTTCACTGTTCGAGCTGTGCGACTATGGAACTCTCTTCCAGTAAACATAAAATTATCACAGACACTAGACTCTTTTAAGGAGGGTGTAAATGTATTCTGTTTTTATTCAGTGTTTGTGTACCTGTAAAACTATACAATTATTATTATTTTGTTTTCTTTGTCAGGCTTCTATTATGTATTTATTAGTATTCATCGAGTTAAATATGTATGTGTATTTAATTTTTAGTTTTACGTGTATTTGTAATTATTTATTTTTATATTAATCAGGTTATTAATTTGATTTTATTGGATACTCAATTGTGCAGCCCATCTTGTTTTTTGTTTTTATAAAATTAATCTCTCCTTCCAAAAGTTGTCTGGAAGAGATCACTATAAAGTGATAAGACCGCCGATTGTAACACTTAAGTATATTTGTTTATGTTTTGTCTCTTTAATATTTGTGTATACAATAAAATGTTATCTATCTATCTATTTTGATCTGTGTATCATCTGACATGAAACACGACTCACCATGACGTGACGTCATATCGGCAAAAAACGCTTCTGCATCGGTCAGACCAGTCCAGTCGTAGATATATAATATAGTAGCTCTTCGCATCCGTAACTTCCCGTAAGTGAAAGAATTTACATTATCGGATCAGTATTACCGAAGATAGGAAGTAATCTTTCCCGGGAAACGCTTTCCCGGGTATTAAAAAATAATCGTGTATATTCATATCCATTATGTTGATTATTTATCAGGATTCGACGCGTTGAAAGACGAGTTAAGCTTCCACTGGGGTGACCACAATAACAGCGTGGGACCAGCAAGCCTCACTGACCACAACGACAAACGTATCAACGGACACGTAAGTATTTAAAAACTGCTCTTTTCAAAAGTCGACTCTATCCGACCATATCGCTCTATCATGAGGCTGGGGTACTGAGCGTGAGGAAGATGTTTTTATATCGAGTAGTAATTTCTGTTCACAAAGAAGTTGTAGCATCAAGCCAATATAAATCACTACTCAGAAAAAGAGTTTTTAAGATACCATGTCATGTGATCAAAACTACCTTTGCGCAGCGTTTCAGACCTTTTATTTTCCCACACATTTACAATAAGCTTGTTAACGCCCTTCAAATTAAAAATAAATCGGTCAGGGAAATAAAAGTACTGTTGCCCAGGAAGCTTCTGAAACTTGACTATGAGGATACTGAAAATCTGTTGAGGATCCAAAAGTAGTTATAACGATCTTACTTATAAAAGTAGAATAAAAATGCTGATTATAATGTAGTGTTTAAGTATATAATGTAATGAAGTAAGTAATGTCATATATCTGTTGTTGTGCTGTAACTGTAACTGGTACAAAGCCCGCCACAGATCAGGCTTAGCCTAGTGTGGGGGCCAGAAAAATCTTGTAAATGAATATGAAATCTTTTTGGGAAATAAATTTATTTATTTATTTATTTGTGTCATATTGGAAACTAATGAAATTGTATAGTGAAAATTGTAGGTGTAAATTCCTTGTATGTTTCTTTCGTTTCCACGCGAAATCCCTTCGTGTTTATTTATAAGTTGCGACCAGATAGATGGTAGTTTTGATTCTGTCAATAAGTTTTTTCCACTTAAAATTTATCCGAATATCATCATCAGCCCTTTATTTCTACCCCACTGCAGGGGCTCAGGCCTTCTTTATGGATGGTTAAGGAGGATGGGAGATGACCTTTCATGCTGGCCCAATCCGAGTATAATGATTATGAATTATGTGCGTACTATCCACTTCTTTGGAGGAGCTCGATGGCGCAGTGGTTAGTGCGTTTATCCTGCGATACGGTTGTTAAGCAACTTTCGCAGGGGTCGCTCACGGGATGGGTGATCAAAAATGTATTATCTAGCTCCTCCATGCTTCAAGATGCACATTAAGCCATTAGTCTGCAGTCGTTAACACTCCAATCCGAACTGGGCCTGCGTGGTGGGTCATGGCCCATTCTACATATTCGATTGGATTTTAAATACCTTATAATATTATCTAACCTAATCTATGCTTATTATAGATTTTTTGTTTTGTTAATGTTTGTGATAAGCGTGACATATTTTTGTATCTTAATTGTCAATCTAAAGCACTTAATAATGCAAATTGTGCATATTTAATAACTCACTAATTTTTTTTCACAGGATAAGATAATATCAAATGGAGATGTGAAATACTCTGATATCAAGGATAAATCTGATAAAGATTCAAAACCGCATGGTGAGTTTATAATCTTATTTTATCTATCTTATATTTATATCTATAGTAAATATTATAAAATAAAATAATTTTTATTTAATTGTAACTTATATTTTAATTACAGTAAATGGAGATACATTACACGTAGATTCAAACAAAGTCAAGGCGACATTCGACTCAGATGAGGACAAAACACCGATGAACACTCTAGAGAAAGGAAAGAAGAAGTCTGATAGCGGCTTCCTCGGCGGATTAACCGACAAAGTAAAAAACGTCTTCAAACACGAAGACAGCGACGAGAAAGAATCCTCGCCTAAACCCCAACCGAAACCGAGAGATTCAAAAGAAAAGAGTCCACCCAAACCCGCGCCTAGAATCATTAACGAAGAACTCCTTGGCAAAGTAGATGATATGTTCAAAGATCTTAAAACGAAACCGCATCAAATAGATGACGATGAAGTTCAAGAACGAGTGTACGCCACTAAACTTGTTGTAGAAGAAGGGGACAGACCTTTGAGTGAAATCACTGAAGAACTTTACGACCAATACGCTCACATGCAACCGGTAGAAACGCCACTTCGCAATAAAATCGATGATCCTTTCCAATACCCCAAATGCTGCGACGGAAAGAAATATAAACATAAGCACGATGAGACATCTAATATTGTGGATATTATAGAACAAGCTGAGTTCGCACACCATGAGAAATTGAATGAAGCCGGTGATAGGATATCGAGTGACTTACGTGAAGGATTAACCAAGATTGAAGAAGAGAAAAGCAATGTTAATAAAAATGTCAATGATATAAAAGATGATTTAGCAGATTTTGGTAATAAACTAAAAGGTGAATTAATAATCACAGAGAATGACATCAAATCAGGGATCGTAAACGATGCTGAAAGTAAAACCAATGACAAGTTGGATGAGTTCTCGAAAACTCTACACAGCGCACATGATGATATTAGTGCTAAAGCGACAGAAATTCAGACTAATGTTGCAACAAATTTTGATGATATCAAGTCTTCCTCTAAAGATATTTTTGATACAGTAGGTAACACAGTTCAAGTAAGCAAAGAAGAGTTGAAGAGCAAAGCAAATATCATGGATTTCGCTGCTAGAGAACGAGCTGAACAACTATATCTTGAAGGGCACGATGTTGAAGCAGCTGTCAAGAGCAAGGTAGATGATGTGAAACAAAATACTCAAGAAATCGGTTATGATATAAAAAACAAAACGAATAATATTGTTGAGTCAATTGCTACTTCCATTAATAATATTCAAGAAAAAGTAGATAAGAAAGCTGACGATTTGAAGACTGACGTGAAAGAAACTGCTGAAAATATAAAAGATGTTACAAATGAAAAAGTAAATGAACTTAACGAATCAATAGAAAATACCAAGAAAAAATCAAAAAAAGAGGCTAAGAAGAAAGCTAAAGAAGGTAAAAACTTCTTCACTGGACTTGTAAGCAATATTTTCGGTGAAAAGGACAAAATCGAAGAAGATGTCAAGGCCAAAATCAATAAGGGCAAAGACGTCACGAATGACCTACTTGATGAAGTATCATCCAAAAAGAATGAGATTGAGGAAGATGTTGCCAAAAAGCAAGCTGAAATTGAACAAAGCGCTGAAGACTTAGCCCGTAGTGTGCATAACGAAAAAGAAAAGGCTGAAATGGCAGTACAAGAAAGTATCTCCAAGAAAGAAGCGGACTTAAAACAAAGTGCTGATAATTTTGTACAGAATGTCAAAGATAAAAAGGACAAAGTTGAACACTCTTTGAGTGAAAAGGTAAATGAAATCAAACAAACCGTTGATAGTAAGACGGATGAAGTAAAGCACGCCATTGAAGATAAAAAACAAAATATAGAAAACACTATTATAGATAAAAAAGAAGAAATATCAAAGACCGTCCAAGACAAAGCAGATGAAGCGCAAAAAGAACTTCAAAACAAAAAAGATTTGGTAGTCAACTTTATAGAAACTGAAAAAGAATCTGTATTGGATAAGATAAGCGAGTCTAAACAAGCCTTTGTTGACAAAAAGAACGAAGTAGAAAACGCAGTTGTAAACAAAAAAGATGAAATTAGCGCTGCCGTCAGTGATAAAACTAATGAAGCAATGAGGGCTGTTGAAGATAAGAAATCAGACGTAGAGAACACACTTCATAGTACAAAGGACACTGTAACTAGCTTTGTTCATGACAAAGCTGGGGAGGCGCAAGACATTATTCAAGATACAAAGGATTCGATTCAAAATTTCGTACACAATAAACAAGATGAATTTAACAGCACAATACATGACACAAAAGAACAAGTAACAGATTTTGTCCAAAGTAAAACGGATGAAGCCGGAAAAGCTATAAATGACACAAAAGATAGTTTAGTAAGTTCATTCCATGACAAAACAGATGAAGCGAAAAATGCTGTTAAAAACAAGAAGGATGAAATCGAGAATACAGTTTTGAGTAAAAAAGAAGAAGTTCAAAATAAGATTTCAAACAAAACAAATGAGGTTCAAAATGCTGCCGCGACAGAATTAGATAGGATACGGCAAGAGGCTGTACTCACGACAGAACAAATCAAACAGTCGGCAGAAGATGCTCTAAACGCTGCTTCAGATAAAAAATCAGAAATCCAATCAAGTGTTGCAAATAAAATAGGAGACTTAAAGCAAGCCACAGATGAAACTTTAAGTGCTGCTGCAAACAAAACCGCAGAAATACAATCTGACATCAGCGGGAAAGCCGATAACGTCAAAGCTGCAACTAAGGAACATGTGGACAACCTTCAAAAAGCTGCAAGTGAAAAAGGCGGTGACCTACAACGGTCAGCGCAGCAGACGTTCGATCACCTTCAAGATTCGACCTTGAGTTCTTTCGATAAGATCGAAAGTTCAGCTAAGGACAAAGTGAGCGACGCGAAGGATACATGGGAAGATTTGCAAAGTTCCACGCGGGATACTTACGCGGATTTTAAGGATGACGTCCACAGTTTAGGAAGTTCAGCTCAAGATACCCTACACAGTTTCCAAAGCTCAGCGGGCAACACTTTTGATAGCTTAGACGATTCTGCTAGAGAATTCGTTGGTGGCGTTCATAATTCAGCTTCCGAAGTTGCCGATTATAGTAATGACGTATTCGGTCGTGCCAAGGATTCCTTTGAGGGTTTCCAAGTTTCCGCTAACAATAAACTTGAAGATGTCAAGGGTGCGACTAAAGATAAGTTAGATGAGGCCGGTAGTAGATTGGGTGAAGCCGCAGAGGAAGTCGATAAAAATATTAAGGAAACAGAACAGACTATCACCGACTCAATACAAAACGAAGCTGACAAATTTACTAGCAACCTCAATGATTTGGGCAACTCTGTCTTCGGAACTTCTGGGAAAGGTACCTAATATTTATAAAAATTGTTAATTTAAATTAACAATTTTTATTTGAAATGAACATTTAAAATTGGTTAAATGCGCGACAGATATATAATAATTTAGGTATTATTTATAAGTTCCACAAGTTAGTTTATTAAAAATATTTATTTAACAAATAAAATCATTCATTAATTAACCTTAAGAATAGTTCAATAAGCGACAGCTTCGATTACTTCTTAAAACAAAAGTTACGGCATTTAAAATCTTCTATCATACCAACTCCTTCTGGTCCGTCCAAAGAGTTTGATGGTTAACGTTCATTAAGATGTTCAGTTTGATCGTGCGATGAAAATTCACAAGTTACTTATATAGACAAATTATGTACTGGAGTTATGTAATTAAAAAATTTCTTCACAGGATTCATGAAGGATTCCAGCACCAAATTATTGGAGTCAGAGAAATCACAGTCTTCACCGTCACCTCACAAAAAGGGCTCCGGGTAAGCATTGCTAATATATCAATTAATTATGGTTTAGAGTATGCATTAATTATTTTATCTTTTAGTCTATACATTTTTACATATACCAACAAGTTTTTATCATAAAATGTCTATAGTCATTAAAAATAGTATGTTATGGCCTGTTCTGTTTTACCAGTGATCGGAGTAGGTAGATTGATTTTTGTACTTTTATCATTAATGCTCATGGAAAGAATAGTATGGATAACATCCAATTGAATATTGCTTATGTTAGTTCTAGACATTGTTCCTACTCGATTCTAATTTGAAATCTAAATTCTGAGTAAAACATTGTACTAATATTTTTTTTGCAAGAATGTCCACATAAATGTATGTTTTAATTTTATATAATTACTCCGATCACATGTTTAAATGTAATTCAATTTCCTATTAAATTAATAATGCATACTTAAAATTTTCCAATCAAGCCATCGACGTTGTAAATAACTTCACGCAAGTTATGGCACGGAACTAATGTTTAATTCACTTCAAAAATGTAACAAATATTTACATAATTTCCTAATTTATCACGACACCAGCATAGCATGGAAAGAAAACTGTGAAATCATTAAAATTTTAGATTATAAATAAATATAAGCTTTTTTATTACTGTTATTCAATTAATAAACTATTATTGAAAACCTTTTTTATCGTAAACACCAATAGTTATCGTATGACATATTAATTATCATATAATTTCGGAACGAAGTTATCTACCATTTTCATTTGGATCAAATACTATATAGAGCACAATTGAAAAGATCTCACAGTTTTTAAAATTTGAATCTTATCGTCTTTATTATAAAATACCAATTTCACTTGCACACATATTGCCACCATCTAACTTCACTCGCACGCCTTACAGGATACCAAAACTGAAGAAGAAGAAGAAGTAAAAGCCGAACGAAATCTCAACTTCGACCGATGTATGATAGTAGATTTTATATTAGTTTTTAATTATTTATTTTTGTTATTGCATAGTACATACGAGAAATCAGTTTCATAAATTTGGAACGTCCTAATATTGAACAAATGTAATTTATTTCATTGTGATAAGAAATAGTATAACATCATATTGACAATTCAAGTTTAACTGGTATGTACTATGATTTTAAACAATGGTGAAAAACGATTGGTTTTTAAAAAGAAATGTGACAATTCTTTCGTTTTCACAGTCAGCAGATGACGCTAGTGTTGTCGACTTAAAAATATACGCTTTTGAAAACTTAATTGATCATCATCAAATCATCGATGGTTGAGAGTGAAATATTCTCATTTCAGTCCTAAAGCTTTAAATCAGCGCCATCTACTGACTGACTTATCATTATATTCCACCTTAAATTTAATTCCATGAACGATTCTCAAAGTTGATTACAAGTAATAAAATTTTTATATATTTCGATAATATAATCATACAATCGTTTTGAAATCATTGTATGTGTATTGTAAATGTGGAAACTATATTAGAAACTTTCAATCTATGTTAGATGTGACGAGATTTTTTTATATTTTCGATAATGTTTAGTCAGATCCCTATAATTAAGAATACTAGGTACATAAGTATTCGTTTACGTGAAAAATTTTAATGAACGACTAAAGATAACTGATTTCAAAGAAATCTGTCGTTTATAATATATGTTGTATAATTTATTAACTTCGACAATCGAATAAAATTTTCAATAATGTTTTTTATTTATAAAAGATAATATATTTTATACTTTATAATGTCTGTAGTTCTTGCCCTTTAACTGATATTATTGTGTTTGAAATCAAGTAATTATTATATAGAAAAATTACATTACCTGAAATCATTTTTATTACAATTTTTATAACACATTTATAGTGCATTTTATATTTTACACAATTTTAAATATTGTTTTTTGTAGGTGCCACTGTAAATGTTTATGTTGCTTAATTTATTTTATTTTAAATATGTTTTCTTTATAAAGTTTACATTGCTTTGTACAGATTAAAATAATTATTTTTGCTTTAAGAGAAAAATGTTAATATGCATGTTGTAATGCGCTTCATTTCATGTAAATCCGTTATTTATATATCGTTCAGTAGTGCCAACTACTAGAACTAAATAGATCTGCTAGTATTTATTTTTTTGAAGCTGTTATAGACACTATTTGGTACATAATTGAAAGACAACATTTCAAAAATAGTGTCTGTAATGCTGCTTATGTCACAAAGCGACTTTATTGTATTTATTATGATGTTAAAGTATAAATACACTATTGAAAAAATAAAGTTTACAATTTTAACGAATGCCTTTATATTTTCTGGTTATTATGGCTTTTTTCGAGTCCATTTTTAGAAGGTTACCTTCTGCTGTATAAGCTTATTACGTGAGCTATAAAATAAGTAGGCATATTTATTTGCAATAAAAGCTTACAGGGTATTATGAGATCAGCAATCCTGTAGGACTGTATCTATAGCCAACATCATAACAACATTTGTTCTACCAGTTAGGAGTGCTAACTGTTTAATTATAAAATCTATCGCAATTACGACTTTGCTTTAAAATTAAGACTTTAGCTGTTAGTCTTAAATAATACGACCCAGTCAGATAACGTATAAGACTAGTTAAAACGACTTAAATGCCTAAAACGACTTAAACGACTTAAAGACCTACGTGTTTTTATTGGAGAGAGCTGGCGTTCGAGTAAAGCGTTTAGTTTTCAATAAAATCGTTTTCCTAATATATGGAAAAAAACTATGTCCTACATATTAGATAATAATCAGGGTTTATTATGGAAAAATAAATACATATGTTACGGTTACGTTTATTAAATTAAAAAATTAATAAAAATTTAAAAAATTTAAATTAAAAAAATATTTTTTATGCAAATGGATAATGAACCGGCTTACGACTCTCGACTCCTCAGGCGATGAGTCGCCAGTCTTTTAAGCTGTTTAAGTCCTTTAAGCTGTTTAAGTAACTGCTGAGCGTTTTAAGTTAAAAGACTTCGACTAATGAGACTAGTTTTAAGACTAAAGGTTGGGGACTAAAAGACTGAGTCAGTCGTGAGGCGTCAAAAATAAGGCGAGTCTTTATTAAAAGCCTTAAAAGCCTGAGTCTCTTTCATCACTAATCGCAACCCCTTTCAATTTGACATCTCAAATATCTCACGACGAATTTCACGCTACAACTATTTGACATTTAATAACGATTGGGATCGTGACGGTTTCTTTAAGTTATTAAATGAATACGTGGTCTGGCTATAAAATAAACGCCCAAATGTGGTGGGGAAAAAAACGAGTAGTGCGTTGGGTATCTGGAAATCTTCTCTATTCACGTACCAAATCACGTTTTTGTCACTATTATATTATTTGTGCAGTAGCGGTTTGAAACGGACTTATTTTTTTCTCGTGTTGAAAACAGGAGCAACGTATCATTCTCAAATTTATCGTTAAATTTTAAAATCTCCGACCGAGTGCTACAAATTGTTGCAAGAGACCTATGGGCACAATCGCATTTTTTTGAGTGGTGTAAACGCTTCAGTGAGGGCTGAGAGAGTACTGAAAATGACCAGCACCCAGGTCGCCCTGTCACTATTTATAATGTTTATTGATTGATTGGGATTGTGACTTAATAATTCCAGAAATCGCTACCATAATAGTTGTATTAGCCCACTGGTAATTCGATACATTTATTTTCTCACAAAAACAATATTTAGGTAAAGCTCACAGCGCTCGGACGCGCGCGCTCGCGTAGTTCTTTCGTTTATGAGTAAAACATAGTAGTGTAAATGTAGTACGAGGTTCTAAGGGATTACTATTAGAAGGTAGTAGGTTTGCTTATTATCTGTATAATATGAATTTGGACTAATACTAAAATTGCAATTTTAGCGTAAATTTAAACCTTTTTTATTAATAATACTGTTAGATGTTGCCTACTGGACAATCTTTTGGCAGTTATAAAGAATGGACCAGGTTCCATCTCATAGGTTTAGGTGTATATTAAAGAAGATATACCTGTATTACAGATTAAGGAAACCATAGTATTAACATCTCTAGGTTAGAGAGAGACGAAAGTTTTCAGTAGGTACGCGGTTGGTCCCTCTACTTACGTTTACACTAAAGGAGAACTTAAAACCAATCTTCGGATTATTCTCCTATGCATGTGCGACCAGAGGGGGGCATATAAGGTACTGATTTTCTCTTTCTAATCTAGGGACAGCTGAAGCCCGGCTTTATTGCTCTATTATAATACCACTATAGAGGATTTACCTCAAAAAAGCATATGTAATATCAATCGCATTACGATGAAGTTAATGTGACTTAGCATCTTAGTACAGGCTAAGTCGTGTTAACTTCTTAACCATTGAATGCCTTAACTCACATCTGCATCTGTAAGCACGTTATCACTTTGGGTAAGTTCTGTTGCATACTTTCATTTTTTTGCACTACACATCAGCAGCCCTTTACAGCATTTCAGTAAAGAAATAGATTTGCTTATCCTAAAATTATTTTCGACTTTATTAGCATTGATAGTATGTTTTTAATCATCTTACATAGTATCCCAAAATCCAAAATGCCCTCTTAAAATAGATTGTTGTGAATAGTCATTATAAATGTTATATGTCGTAACAAAACTACAAAACAAACTCTAGGATCAAGTGCCGTTTCTCAAAAACTCTAGGATCATTATTTTCTATTACTTTCGTTTGAAAAACAAACACGTAATTGAACCAAAGTAGCAATTTTCCGCGCAGGTTCCCGTCTCTGGTACACTGCCTCGACTGTGAGCCGAAAATGCGCTGCTGCGCAGATGGTATTTTGTTTCAATTTGCGTGCCGCGCATTATAGCCATTTATTTGTAGATTAATAATGTTAATAATATTTTAACGTTACAGCTTTTTTAGCTTCGTGAAACGAAAATCTTAAAGAAATTGGCGAAGAATCTGCCGACATGCATCGCTTCAAATAACCAACCAGCATATAACTTAAAATATGATATAATAATCAAAAGATGTAACATTGTGTTCTATTTGTTCAATTGAAGTAATTTTAAAAACTGTTATTATCAGTATATATGTAATGTATTTGAAATACTGCATAATAATCTTAAAAAAAGTTTTATGATTCTGTTAAAATATAAATCCCTGAAGAATTATCCTTGGTCTATTTATTTAATATAACTGTAGGATAAAGATAGTTCGTAAGGAACCATAGATGGCGCTGCTTTAGTATGTTAATGTTTTATTAGTACATAAGTTAAAAATTGCCCCCTTTTATACAATTTTTGATCTAATTTATTGTCTACCAATAATCATTTTAATAACAAACTGAGTGATGGTATATTAAGTTTATAGAGTGACCCATAAATCATTTTAAAGATCTATGGACAAATATGTTTATATGTATACAAAACGCAAACATTCGATATTGTTTAATATAAATAAAAATGTAGTTTTAAATTGCATAATATGCTGTTACCATATGTGATTAAAGTAAGTTTTAAAAACTTAAAAAGCGTATAATTAATATTAACTGACTGTAGAGGTTTGCGAGATAACACTGAGGTTTTTTTTTTATATAAATACCTTCAAAAGACACCAAATGAAAAAGTAACAAAAATATAGTTTTACTCTATAGATGAGAAGTATTCGATCAAATATTGTTTTTAAAACAATACTCTAGCAGACACAAGGTCAATACAATTGACTCATTTCAGAATATTGCAAAGTATTTATAAGCAAATGCTTTTAATAATAATAATCTGTAGTAATTTTAAAACCCTCATATTCTCGTCTTATCACTTTATATAATAGTCCTATTCGCACTAAACCGAAGTTTATCATAAATATTTTATTAATTAAATAAAGCTATTATTTTTAATGTCCACTTAATGTATAAATTTGTCCAAATTATTATTATTCGAACAGTGTATTAAAATATTTTTGCGGTAATCTATATATATGTATGCACGTATGCGTTTTATAAATCACTTATGTGTGTAATTATTTTGATTTGACTATTAAAATATATATGTAACATCAAAGTTGACATTTACAATTTTTTCGTAATTGTGTAAAATTTACTTCTGAAAGTACTGTGATGCCAAATAATAAATGAATATATAATTAAGTTAAAAAAATTGTTAATTTATACATAGTCTATCGTTCACTCTGTTTATTGCTTTTAGTGAGTAATAAATATTATTTAAAAATATGTGAATAATATAATTTACTCTTCCTAAAGAATTCTATTAACCATGTATTAAGAGCCACCCATTATTAAACATACTTTTTATAAAACCATGTCACCAGGTTAATAGAGTCATAAGTGACGCGGGCCCTTGCATATTGATGGGCATCAATCGGTGGGTGTTAATGTGAATGAATGCTATGCAGCCAGGAACAAATGTTGAAAAGGAGTTAAAGATCAAAATTTCAAACAGGCCTAATGCGGTCTGGCGGGAGTGAACAACTGCAAATGCGGCCAGGACTAATGGTTGAACAGGAGTTCAAGGATAATATCTTAAATTTTCAATAATTCACCTGTTATCCGCCTTTACGCAAGTTGTGTAACTTCGCGATAACAAAGAATAATTATTAATAGTTTAAAGTTTCCTCGTTAGACGGAGAGCTCATGACAAAAATGTGCAAGAGCTTTCTAAACCTTGATATTTCAGTATGTTGAAGTACTTAGGGATTTTACGTATTACTACATTATTAATAGTTAGTTCCTAAAAAATACTCAGACTTTCAATTAATAGAACAGACTACAGGGAGATAGCACAATAGCAAAATTCAAGTAATTGAGATTACTGACTATCGTACTTACGTACGTAAAATTTACCAAAATTGAGGTGACACTCAATCAGTCCTCCTCACCTCAGTCTGACGGCTAACTAAGATTGCGACTTTGTGTTGTGTTGACTGAAGACGAAAGAAGATGAAACTGATAGTATCTTTCTTTTTAGTCTTTCAATAAAGGTTTAATAAAAACAAAATTATCAGGAATAATAATGTAATTTTAAATGCAAAATTTTCTTTTTCTTATCTATACATATAGAGTTCATAAGCATTCAAAAAGACCAATAATACTTACTAAGAAGTGTATTTTTTATTGGTGGTGTTTTTATTCCTTACATCACCATGGTTTATACCTGGAATATAAAAATAATGTATATCAATTGACATAAAAATACGGTCTAATTAAATAAAAGCTTGAAAGAATGTTTCTTGCAGTAGAAAATTGCTGCTAAAATTACTTTGTTTCTCCTTTGTGATCTTAATAATTCATTTGGTGCATGTCACATAGTATATGGTTGTTTTTATTTTAGGTTGAGTTTGACCTCGCATGAATGTCAAACAACAAAATGTGACTCAACTTGGATGTATTGAACGATGGAAAAGTTACATATGTTCAAGTCATTCATGCATAAGCAATAGTTTTTTTTTTATAATAATGTTGAATAATTTCTCGATCTAAATGATCGTGAAGTCTTTTTACATTAAAATACATTCCTAGGGGCAAAGTCAACCGACTCCGGAAACAGGTACGGCGGGGCACCCTTCACCTATCCCTGCGAAATCCGTATTCGGAGAGGCTGATAGTTTCGGAGCTATAGGGTTTTTACCACTACAGGTAAAAACCCTATAGCTATATACTTGGGCAGGACTTCACCCAAATTTTACCGGAGGCGTAGCTCCAGAGCCTTTATCCGTATAGGGCCGTGTTTGGGCTCTTAGGAAGGGCCATTATAGGTTCGAATAATAACTCACCATTTATTTTATGACAGTTACATCGCCATAGAAAGAGCCTGAGCAATTATACTCCCGGCCTGCACGTTACCATAGAAAGACATGGCAGTGGCCGCCAAAGAGCCGCCTACTATGCCTGTGGCTGAAAATCCAAGCATCGGCAGTAACCACAAGCCTTTACCCGTGTATACCACAATACCGGATACTGTGTTTACAAAAATGACCGTTAATATGGCCCCCATGGTTTCTTGAACGAAAATTCGACAAATAAAAACACAGCCACTAAATATTATTGTCTGCTCAACCGATGCAATTAGACTTGAGACTTGAGTAGCTCGCGAGCACAGAACAATAATACTCCTCGCGAGCGAGTGATATAAATGTAACATTTGCCCTTATTACTGTACTCTTTGATTTGCCCATAGAGATAGGGCGCTTGTGCACTACACTGAATTTTCAGGTCCGGCGGTCCGATTTTTTCCGGTCCGGAATGACATGAAAAATTCGGATGAGTAGCTTGTGCACTTGTCCGTTTTTTTCCTGATCGGAGCGGCGCAGTGTAGGGCAGCTCTCTTTGAAGCTACACGTCACTTACGCTAGGTACGATGAGATTTTTGGAACGTCGGTAATTCCGTTCGAAGACGTAGAAAGGTACCTAAATAATGATCTGATCGTTTTACATAAACCATAATAAATTATGGCAAGACGAAAGCATTTTTGTTACTACTATCGGATAACTTATACCCTTACTAATTTAGGAACAGCATTATTCACATAAAATAGCTAAAAATATCTGTGACATTAGAATAAAATTACTGATAATGGTCTAGTACTTGATGTTTAAATTTTTAAACGTGCTATTTTTTTTTCGAAGTTTTGTAAAAACAACTTTCAGCGATTACAGAGATAGACCAATCGGTGGCGCCATTTCGTAAACAAATCGAAATTAGTGCCGTGTTAGCGGAGAATTATTATGCTAAATGAACTTTACGATATCAGTTGACTGTATTATATAGGCATAATTTTATACGCAAGGTGTAGTTTCTTTGAGCAGAAATATTATTCCCTTAGAATACTTCTTTTTTTTAAAATTTATCAATGACACAAACATACATTTAAAATTTTATTAAATGCGACAAAGACATTGAGTGTCACTTAATTACTTTTGTTAATCTTCTGTTTATTCTTTATTATTACTTCTGTTGTCAAATATTTATCTATATTTATCAATTGTCTAAAAAAATTGATAATGACAAATTTCCAGGCAAACTTTCATCCCCTATTTTTCGCGATAAAATGTAGCCTATGTCCTTTCTTAAAGTTAAGTCTATTTACTATATTAATTTCCATTTAGATGGGTTCAGTTTTTTAGGCGTCTAAGCGTAACAACACTTATTTATCTTACCTTAAGCTATCGATACTTTTAATACGATTCTAAAATCTAACTAAGTATCGATACTAGAACCATACGCTGATCAAATTAGAACTATACCGAGTTTGCCAAAGCTTATGCAGTGATATATACCAACTATATTAAATCATCATATAAAATATAGCATTTTATAATCAACAATAAATATTGATTATAAGTTTATTGGAAATTAACAATATTGCCGAAATAAATATCGATTCAAGTCGATTATTTTTTCCCAAGCCTATTCCTTATGAATTTTCCGGATCTCGGACACAGCAGTGCACAAGCGTAAACACGTTTTTCATTGCCGCCATCACGGACCTGAAAAAACCGGTCCGGAATAGAGAAAAGTAAAATTCCGGACGGTAAAATTCCTGACAGTGCACAAGCGCGCATTACCTACATATGGCCTGACATATCGGACCTGAAAAAATCGGAGCGCCGGGCATGAAAATTCAGTGTAGTGCACAAGCGCCCATAGGCCACTTGTGCACTACACTGAATTTTCCGATCCGGCGGTCCGATTTTTTCCGGTCCGGAATGACATGAAAAACCCGGATGGGTAGCTTGTGCACTAGTCCGTTTTTTTCCTGATCGGAGCGGCGCAGTGTAGGGCAGCTCTTTTTGAAGCTACACATCACTTACGCTAGGTACGATGAGATTTTTTGAACGTCGGTAATTGCGTTCGAAGATGTAGAAAGATACCTAAATAATTACCAGAGTGGTAAGTGTAAGTTTTACGCTAACGCGTTCACTAGTGAGCGCGTTAAGACTTTGTATGGAGATTTTTACTTCTTGGTAGTTACCGCTAGGGGCGCTGTACCGGATTCCATACTAAAATCTTAACGCGCTCATGATCGACAGTGAACGTAAACATCAAAAAAACTTACACTAAGCGCTCTGATCATTTTTCATAAACCATAATGAATTATGGCAAGACGTAAGCATTTTTTTACTACTATCGGATGACTACTATCAGATGTAAAAATGTAAAAAAGTATCTGTGACATTAGAATAAAATTACTCATAATGGTCTAGTACTTGATGTTTAAATTTATAAACGTGCTATTTTTTTTTTCGAATGTTTGTAAAAACAACTTTAAACAATTATTTAGAGAATTAATATTCTAAATGAACTTTACGAGATCAGTTGACTATATATCTATCTATCTATAATATATAAAGCTTAATTACCACTCACTGACTGACTGACTCACTCCATGCTTTTTTCGGGTAGTTAAAGTAGGAAAATGACATTTTCATGTAAGGAGACTGACTATATTTTTTTTAAATGAGTTGAAGTACCATATCGGTACAGCCAAAAAACAAAATGGCGGCGAGATAATTTTTTTAATTTCTACATTATACACTCTATGATTACGATATTCAAAATGGTTGTAGAGTGGGCTAAAAAAATGGCAATGAAAAAGGGTTTGATTAAAAAAACAAAATGGCGGCCGAGATATTTTACCTCGAAAATTGACATTTTTCGACCTCTGTTCGGGCAATCGTCAATTGTTTTGTGGTGGGTTCGGAGGGGGGATTTTTGCTCCTTCAGCTCGGAAGTATAGTCGATTTTCACGAACGGGGAGTTTTCATTTGCGCGTCAACATGGCGGCGGCGGGGGCGGCCATTTTGTTTCGGCAATGAAAAATCGCCATTTTCCAGTGAGATTTTCTCCAAGATGGCGGCGTCGGACGGATTCATGTCGTATGGGGCGGTCATGGGGCTCGGTGCGATCTTTCTATTTCACTACCGATTTCTACCATTTACGTGGTAGTTTATGAGATTTTGGGAGAAAAGTGAAATTTCGAAATACGCACTTTTCTCAGAAAACAGACTCGATGCGGTGTGGCGCCGGGGGAGCCCTATGACTTTTGGTAGTTTTCGTTTCTGCGAGCTGACAACCCTGGACTCCACGGTAGAAAACATTTTTTTCGACATGCCCTCATAACCCGAATTGTTTGGGAACCTGGGTGGCCAGCGGAGAAAATCTGTGAATGAGGTCCCTTGCCTGATATAGTCGTGACTATGGGAAAATTATGAAACTCGGGAAAATCAATATGGCGGCGCCGGCAGCGGCCATTTTGTGATTTTTTCACTTTTTCGAAAAATTCAAACGCACTTTTAGCACACATGGCAACATCGGAGCTCTTCGCCTGGTATGGACTGGTCGTGAGTCTCCGCTGGCTCCTTCGAATGAGGTGAAAATTTTCCCCGATTTTAGGGTAATTTCGGATATTTACCCCAAAAACGTGAAAAGTAGAAGGAGCCATTTGAGAATTTCAAAAATGCTTTTCCTCGACGGAGGGCACTCGCCGAAATGACATTTGACTATTTTCATCATCGTCACCTGGCAACCCTGGTGACTGCGGCGATTTGAAAAATTTCACCCATTTTTTACTTTGTCGACTCTAGCGCAGTCGGTATTGCCACTAGGAAAATGGTATTTACTGCATCGGATGCGCTATCGAGTCGGCCACACCGGTACGGAGCCGGATTTTTAAAATTGAAGATGGCGGCCAAACCAGCGGCCATTTTATCCGAAAAATTGGGTATCGTCACCACGTCGAGCCGATTTTGACGCACTTGGCGACATTTGTCAGAGTACTTCCGGGGAAACATTTTTTAGGCAAGTAACTAAAGTGTTGCCAGGTGAAAAAATATCTCGAAAATTTTTGATACTTTATGAGATTTTTGAGGAAACAATTTTTGTCGAATTTTTGAACTTTTTTGATGCAAATATTTTAATTTTAACTTTTCAAGATACCCGATGGAAAAAATAGAACGATCGACTGGCAACACTGAGAGCAAACGACGTTTGAAATTCAATCTCTATTTTGACCGACTTGGCAACCCCGCAGGTATTTGGCGTGTATAGAGCGATTGTGTATCTCTATAGACTCTTTCATGTGGTGGAAAAAAATTACCCGATTTTAGGGTAGTTTTTGAGATTTACCCCAAAAACTGTAAATGTCAACGGAACAATTTTAGAACTTGAAAATTGGTATTCGTCGAATGAGGGCACATCCCAAAATCATACTTGACCATTTTCATCGCCAACACCTGGCAACCCTGGCAGCTACGGCGGTTTGAAGATTTAATACCCACTATTCACATTTTGGACTCTAGCGCAGTCATTATCGCCGCTAGGAAAATAGTCAAAACTGCGTTGGATGCGTTAATAGATGGGCTACATAGGCCTGAGGTTGAAATTTCAAAATTCAAGATGGCGGCTGTAATAGCGGCCATTTTATCTAGAAAATTTATCATTTTTCATAACTTTCACTTTATAGAGCTGATTTTGGCGTTTTTGGTAACATTTTTAAGAATACTTTTAACAAAAATATATATCCAGCTGAAGTGTTGCCAGATGAAAAAAAAACAGTAAAGTTTTTGATACCGAGATTTTTGAGAAACTTTCATGTAATGACATACATGATGAAAAATATTAAAATATTTTTTTTACAGTGATTTTACTGTTTAACAAAATTTACTGATGCATTTATAACATAATTGATGGAATAATTTGAGTTCTAGCAAAAAATGATAGTAGTCACCAAATAAATTTCAGAATGATTCTGACCGAGCTGGCGACTCGGCAGCTTTATATTATATTTATATATTTATAGCATATATAGACCGTTTGTGTATCTTTACTCAATCTTCGCGTGGTGAGAAAAAAAAACCAATATTTTCACCAGAAAAATAAAGCGAGCGAGACATTGTCATTCGGTTAGATTAGAACTGTGACTAAAACAAAAAGCGAGCGAAGCGAGCCATAAAGAGTGACCACTTAGAGAGATTTGATTAATTGGTAAGGTTAGAACTGAGACTTAAATAAAATGCGAGCGAAGCGAACCGTAAAGAACACCATCAATAGAAATCTGATCAATCAGTTAGATTAGAACTATGAATAAAAGCGAGCGAAGCGAGCCATAATAAATGGATACCTGGTCATTCGTTTAAGGGACAGTGACCAAAATAAAGAGCGAGCGAAGCGAGCCAAA